GAGAACTGGGTTTGAGTCCCCACGCCTCCACTTGCAGCTGCTGGGTGACCTTGGGTCAGTCACAGTTCTCTCAGAGCTGTTCTCTCAAGGACAGTCCTCGAAAGAGCTCTCTCAGTCCCACCTACCCCACGGGGTGTCTGTTGTGGGGAGGGGAAGGGAAAGGAGTTTGTAAGCCGCTCTGAGACACCTTTGGGTAGTGAAGGGCGGGGTACAAATCCAATCTCCTCCTCCTCCTCTTCTTCTATTTATCTACCAAACGCATACCCCGCCTTTCTGCCCTCATCAGCCACTCTGAGACTTCGAGTGAAGGGTGGGGTATCAATCCAATCTCCTCCTCCTCCTCTTCTTCTATTTATCTACCAAACGCATACCCCGCCTTTCTGCCCTCATCAGCCACTCTGAGACTTCGAGTGAAGGGTCGCGTTGAAAGGCCTCAGCCTGAGACCCCAGAAAGCCGCTGCCGGTCAGAGCTGGCAACGTTGATCTATGGACCAATGGTCTGACCCAGCAGAAGACCGCATCGTGTGTCCCTGTGTACTGAGTAACCTCATTGCATGCAGAACGTCCCAGGTTCAAATCCCCCGGCAACTTCAGTTATCACAACTCAGGCGGGAGTCATTGGGAAAGGCCTTTCTTTGCATGCGGCCCTGGAGAGCGGCTGCCAGTCGGAGCAGGCGATACCAAGCTCGATGGCCCAGTGGTCTGGCTCGGTTACATAATTGCTTTTCGTTGGGCTCTTGACGCATTCATGGTCTTCTTGCGCTGCCTCTTTATACGCAGCTCTCTCCTTTGTTACCTCGATGACTCTGCAGAGATCGTGGGACCGCCGCATCCATTTATTTTCTTTAATAGCTCCGGACTTCTCCTGGAGACTTCCAGCCGGTCAAGCCCAGCCAATTGCCATCGGGCCAAATCGCTCCGGTTATATATCACGACTCCAAAGTCATGCTCCTAATTGTCCTTCGCCGGCTCCTGCGAGCTGAATAATAATAATAGTTGCTGGATCGGTCCCCGAGCAGCTAGGCTAGATGGGATCTGCCAGGGCCGCTCAGTGGTAGAGGACCTCTTGGTTTGCTGAAGGCCCCGGGTTCAAACCTTGATTCCCCACTCCTCCACATGCAGCCAGCTGGTGTGACCTTGGGTCAGTCACGGGTTCTCTCAAGAGCAGGTCTCTCAAGAGCAGTTCTCTCAGAGCTCTCTCAGCCCCACCTGCCTCCCAGGGTGTCTGTTGTGGGGAGGGGAAGGGAAAGGAGGTTGTAAGCCGCTCTGAGACTCCTTTGGGTAGTGAAGGGCGGGGTACAAATCCAATCTCCTCCTCCTCCTCCTCCTCTTCTATTTATCTCCCAAATGCATACCTCGCCTTTCTGCCCTCATCAGGGCCACCACAGTGGCTAACAGGTTAAAAACATCCGTCATGAGAACACATTTTAGAAAACCATTCGAACCAAACCAAAACACAGGACTGAAACAGTCAAAACCAAAGCACACGCAACAAGAAAACTTAACAATAAAGACGAAGAAGAGTTTTTTGCAGATTGGAAGGACTTTAAAGAACACTTGGAGAAACATTGGGATGTAAAGAATAATCTATTTTGGTTTGATAGCTATTAAGAATAGGAAGAACTCGGGAATAGTTGAATATAAGATGATATTAGTTAAAGATAATGTTACCTGTTAAGTTTTGTTTTTAGAGGAGAATGATGGATAAGAAGAAGAAAGATTTGGAGGGGGTGGGAGCACTGCGGGAAGCCAGAAGGAGGGGAGGGAGGGGGAGGGGTAAAAAGGGTATATAATAAAGGAAAATGTTTTAATGTTGGACATGTTGTGATCAGTGTTCCCTCTAAGCTGAGTTAGTGTGAGCTAGCTCACAGATCTTTAGCCTCCAGCTCACAGATTTTTTGTCTTAGCTCAGGTAGGGATGGGCTCCAGAGCAAGCTAATTCATGCAGTATCCAAATCGCTCGCTCACAACTTTAATGCCAGCAGCTCACAAAGTAGAATATTTGCTCACAAGACTCCACAGCTTAGAGGGAACATTGGTTGTTATATCCTGATAATAAAAAGTTAAAAACAAAAACAAAGCACACGCAGAAAAACAGTCATTAAATCAGAGGGCCAGAAGGGGGCGGGGGGGGGAGGACAGGCAAGTCTCTCCAGGGAGCGAATCCCAGAGTTTCGCTGCCGTGACCAAAAAGACTTTCTCTGGGCTGCCACCCACCTACTCTCAGAAGGTAGGGGCAACGAAAGGAGGGCTTGGTAAGATGACTGTAGCTGTCGGCTCCTTGACTGACAGCTCTGAGCCTAGTTAACGTCTCTTGCCTGTCCCAGAAATGGACTTTCGGGAAACCAAATGACCCGGGGTGTTTAGGAGATCAGTTTGAGGCCGTGATCCCAAAGGCCTGAACCGCCAGTCCCAGGTTCAGAGGCCAGCGAGGTGGACGGCGCGTGCCCAGTCTCCTCGCTATAGGGGGTGGCGTTTTGCCACGGTCAGTCGGCCGCCATCGCGCGTCACGGTCTCTCTCTGCAGATCAGCAGCAAGCGGTCCAGCAGCTTCAAGCGGGCCATCGCCAACGGGCAGAGGGCCCTGCCCCGGGATGGCCTCCTGGACGAGACGGGCCTGGGCTTCTACAAGCGCTTCGTGCGCTACGTGGCCTACGAGATCCTGCCCTGCGAGATGGACCGGCGGTGGTACTTCTACCAGCACCGCACCTGCCCTCCACCTGTGTTCATGGCCGTCGTCACGCTGACCCAGGTAGGTGGGGAATTGTCTCGTAATCCCCCAGAGCGCCAGTGGGGGCGTACCGCGCTCGGGGGAAGAATTAGCCATTGGTCACTAAATCCAGAGATGCTCAGGCCGAACTGTACATTTCATCCTCACTGGAGGGTGCCCAGACCCTTTGGTTGTAAAGTGTTTTCCGCTCTCCCTTGATATCTGTGCGGGATAGAAGCACGAGAAAGTTTGGCCTGGTTTTGCAACACCGGGGATTACCCTCAGGGCCATGTGCATTTGTGCTTTTTAAGGATTTGCACGCCATGAATCAGAATCCGGCAACCGAATATCCCCAGTACCTGGATTTGGAAACCTGAATTTGTCCCATTCGGCCGTGTTTCTTCCGCTGTGTTGATCCATTTGCTATTTGTGGAGAGGGAGTTGGGGGGTCCGGCACTTTCTGGTCCAGGGAAACTGAGTCAGTAGGTCTTTAGGCACTTAAGGTGTCTGCTGGCATCATCTTCCCTTATGATTTCCCGGAGAGCTCTACAACCTGCTAATCGGCATCTCTTGGCGGTCGCCGGCCCCAGGGACATCCATCTTACCTCGACTTGGGCCAGGGCTTTTTCGGCCCTGGCCCCTACCTGGTGGAACGAGCTCCCATATGAGATCAGGGCCTTGCGGGACCGTTTACAGTCCCACAGGGCCTGCAAGACGGAGCTCTTCCGCCAAGTTTTTAGTTAGGACGGCACTGCAATGTTCCCTCTAAGCTGTGGAGTCCCGTGAGCAAAAAATTCTACTTTGTGAGCTACTGGCATGAGAGCTGTGAGCGAGCGATTTGGCTCCTGCATCAGTTAGTTGGCTCTGGAGCCCTCCTCCCTAAGGCAAAAACCTGTGAGCTGGAGGCTAAAAAACTGTGAGCTAACTCACACTAACTCAGCTTAGCGGGAACACTGGACGGCAGGTGTCCCCCTCTCTATTGGGCCTCCCCTTCACTGGGTCAGATCTGTGTAATCCATCTAGAACCCCCGTTTATGATAGACCTCATCTGTTGAGCCTTTGGTTGAACTATAGGAATCGTTATTGTGTTTTATGTGATGGGTTTGAATGGTTTTTAACGGCTTGTGTCTTGTATCCGATGGAACCCGCCTGCTATGCAGAGAGGGCAACCTACAAATCTCATAAAATAAAATAACATACGAGCCTGAGGTAGGTCGCCCAGGCTGACTCGATCTCATCAGATCTCAGAAGCTAGGCAGGGTCGGCCCTGGCTAGTATTTGGATGGACACCAGGGCCAAAGAACACCAGGGCCGCGATGCAGAGACAGGCCATGGCCAGCCACCTCTGAACGTCTCTTGCCTTGACAACCCTACTGGGCCACAAGTCAGCCGTGACGACGACACTTTCCACGAGTTTAAGGACTAAAAAACTGTTTTTTAAAAAATAAACTCGGGGGTTCTTAGGAGGCTGGTTTCCTGGACCAGTACGTTGTTTTCCAGCTTTTTTGGTCTCCTGCGGTATCTCGGCCTTAGGAGGTGGGAAGCCGATTTTCCCCGCCATCTTGGAACGCATCTGGTTCCATTTACTGGTAATTTTAATGCTGGCTTTAAATTAAATTACGGATTGTATGCTGCTCTGTTGTAAGCCGCCCGCAGGGAAGGGCGGCTGAGCAAATCCAGCTTAATAGAATAAATAACAGTCACCCATTCCAATACTCTGGACTCTCTTCAGTCCCTTTTTCCTTCCCCGTTCTCTGTGCATTAGATCATCGTTTTCCTCTGCTACGGGGCCCGCCTGAACAAATGGGTATTGCAAACGTACCACCCGGAGTACATGAAGAGCCCCCTGGTGTATCACCCGGGACACCGAGCCCGTGCCTGGCGGTTTCTCACCTACATGTTCATGCACGTGGGGTAAGTAGTACCTGCTGTGGTTTCCCCCTCTCCCATATAGGAGAGAAACGGGAGGGCGGATGGGAAAACAGACAAACGGGGGGGGGGCGGTGGTGGTTGGGAAAGTTGTTCATGACTTGATTCACCCAGGCAGTGCAGTCGTCAGTAGTTAAGCTCGGGATGCCGGGGGGTGGGGAGCTCTGCAAGTCTGCCGTGAAAAGCTGCCTGCAGATGATGTCGATTGGCTAGCGCCGGTGCCGTCACCGACGCCCTTCCTTCCCAGCCTGCAAAGAAGCCCCATGACTGGTTTCGACACTGATTTTTAATAGCGGTGGGACGATTTGAGAAACGTATGTTAAAAGCAGAGAGGACGGATGATCCTTCCGAAGAACTGCAGGAATATTGAGCGGGGAAGGCTAGCACGTTTCTTTTCCCCTCCCCGTCGGCAGATGAACGTCGTTGCCGTTTTCCGCCAACGGACTGTGATTCTTAGGATCTTCAACCGACTGGCGGAATCAAACTTTATTCTCCCTAATGGAAAGTTTCTTCTGTGACGAAGCGTGGGCTGCTGCGTTCTTAGAGATCCTGCAGTCATCTTTGCTCGTTCCACAAAAAATTGGTGGGGGTCTGGACAGCATTTCAGGAGGTATCGCTTCCATTCCAGCGTCATTGCTTATTGGTTCGTGCCAGAGTTTAATCTGCAGCGCCTTGTGTCCAGGTGAAGCGTATTCCTCTGTCCCTGGCACCCATGTCAATTGCAAGAACTGCAAGATCTGTGGAATGTGGTTGTTGGAGAATCGTAAGGGGGCTATTGGGCAGTATCTGTGCCGCCACCAACAATGATCTGACCATTTCTCGTGCCAACTCCCTTCTCCTCTGCCCGGTCTGCACCACCATCTCCCTGATGTCACAGGTGGTCGCCAGTCAGGATCCTCCGCATTCTGCTTTTGCAAAACCGATTTTTAGCAACGGTTTACTTGAATGTGTCCATTTTCTGCTTTCTCTTGCTGGATGATTGCAGCAACTCTTTCTAGTTCCCTCACGCCCTCTGGGTAGGATGTGGATGCCGTTTCGAATCAAATCAATAAATTTCACTTCTAGTTAGAAGAAAGTTACTATCGTCCTAATCTTCCTCGCCTCCTTCTTGCTTCCCCGGCGTGTTTCTTTCTCCCTACCATGGTTACTAAGAAAGACTGACATTCTGTGATCCACTCAGTGTGATTTGGGGCCTGCTACCTGTTTGGGAGGGCTGCGGTGGCTCAAGTGGTTAAGACACTGAACTGCAGACCGGAAGGTTGGGAGTTCGGGAGTTCAAGACGGTAGTGGTGTAGTGGTGGCGGCTACAAGCATGGACGGCTTCAAAAGGGAATTAGATAGGCATATGAAGCAGAGGTCCATCAGTGGCTATTAGCCACAAGGTATAGATAGGGGCTCTGGGGCAAGGGATGCTCTGTCATCTTGGTGCTTGGGGGGGGGGGATCAACAGTGGGAGGGCTTCTAATGTCCTGGCCCCGCTGGTGGACCTCCTGATGGCACCTGGTATTTCTGGCCACTGTGTGACCCAGAGTGTTGGACTAGATGGGCCTTTGGCCTGATCCAACATTGGCGTCTCTTATGTTCTTATGTTCTAACTGTGCAATAAAATACAACAAGATCAGAACAGTTAAGGCACCAAGTGCAATAAAAATAGAACAAGTTAAAACAATTAAAACAAAAACTCGCATCTTGCAGGATACATTAGGAACCTCTCCTGTTACATGTCGATGTCACACTGTCCCCCGATAAGGCAATTTTACTTGCACTCTTAGGACCTAAACTGGAAGGTGCGAATTGGTACTGATGTCATTTCCAGGATGTGCAACTACTCCTACTGACAGAAGGCCGGATATTGGCCCCAAATAAAAAACCTTTTGGTGTGTCATTCCATTCCAGATTGGAACATTCCATTTCGGGTCCTCTATTACTCATTGTTTCTTGCCTTACATGTGTCACAGGGACTTTGTTGCTTGGTGTGTTTTTGTACTTTGCACCATTTGACCTCTGAAGAAGGCTCTTGTGAGCCAAAATGCGTCAGGTCATACATACACTGTTCTTCTCTGCTCGTTTGTCACTTTGAACATTTTATGAGGCTTTATTTGTACTCAGTTGTTGGCTGTGGAACCTGACATTCTGTTAAGAATGGCGTCGCTTCTGCAAGCATAATGGGATATAGAGTATTCATATGCATACCCCCCCCCCTCCTTAAGCCAATTAGCCACATTCCCGCGCATGGGAGAAGGAGCCCCAGGCCGTTAGAGCCAAAGCTGGGAACCGACAGCGCTCCCACGGTTCCCTCACTCCCAGACACCACACCACCTGCGCGGCTATAGGTAAGCAAGCGTTACAGCAATGAAGAAGCACAGAAGGAATGCAAGGGTACTATGTACACAGGCCAATGAAACATCTGACTCCTCTTGCAACCATGGCAGCATAGCCGACACCCCTGCGGGGTTTTTATATGACTTTGAAATAAACACTCTTTTGTCTAGACTTCCTTATGTTTTTAACTTTTGGCCCTCAATAAGTTTTCTAAACTTCCTTTGGAGGTTTTCGCTTGGTTGGTTTAGTTTCTCCCACCCCCCTTTCTTTGCGTAAGCCCCCGTTAATTTTTATTTATTTATTTATTTGACTTCAGGGTGGCTTTTTGTTGTTGTTGTTCAGTCGCACAGTCGAGTCTGACTCTTCGCGACCCCATGGACCATCTCCTGCCAGGCCCTCCTGTCTTCCGCAGTCCTCCGAAGTTGGTTCAATTTCATGTTCGTTGCATCGATGACACTGTCTAACCATCTCATCCTTTGCCATCCCCGTCTTCTTTGACCTTCAATCTTTCCCAGCATCAGGGTCTTCTCCAGTGAGTGCTCCCTTCTCATTTGGTGGCCAAAGTATTTGAGCTTCAGTTTCATTATCTGGCCTTCCAGGGAACAGTCAGGGTTGATTTCTTTGAGGATTGACTGATTTGTTCTTCTTGCAGTCCAAGGGACTCTCAAGAGTCTCCTCCAGCACCATAGTTCAAAAGAATCTATTCTTCGGCGCTCGGCCTTCCTTATAGTCCAGCTCTCGCAGCCATACATGACTACTGGGAATACCATTGCTTTGACCATGCGGACTTTTGTTGGCAGGGTGATGTCTCTACTTTTTATCATGCTGTTTAGGTTCGCCATCGCTTTCCTCCCAAGGAGCAGGCGTCTTTTAATTTCATGGCTGCAGTCACAGTCTGCGGTGATCTGGGATCCCAGGAACGTGAAGTCTGTCACTACTTCCACGACTTCCCCTTCTATTTGCCAAGGAGTGATGGGGCCGGATGCCATGATCTTAGTTTTTTTGATGTTGAGCTTCAAGCCCACTTTTGCGCTCTCCTCTTTTACTCTGAGCAAGAGGCTCTTTAGATCCTTTTCACTTTCAGCCATTAGAGTGGTATCATCTGCATATCTGAGGTTGTTGATCTTTTCCCCAGCAATCTTAATTCCCGCTTGTGATTCATCCAGGCCAGCATTTCGCATGATGTACTCTGCATATATATTAAATAAGCAAGGTGACAGTATACATCCTTGTCGTACTCCTTTTCCTATGCTGAACCAATCAGTTGTTCCGTATCCGGTTCTAACTGTCGCTTCTTGGCCCTTATACAGGTTTCTCAAGAGACATGTGAGGTGGTCTGGTACTCCCATCTCTTTAAGGACCTGCCATAGTTTGTTGTGATCCACACAGTCAAAGGCTTTAGCATAGTCAATGAAGCAGAAGTAGATATTTTTCTGGTACTCTCTTGCTTTCTCCATAATCCAGCGAATGTTGGCAATATGATCTCTCGTTCCTCTACCTCTTCGAAACCCAGCTTGTACTTCTGGTAGTTCTCTATCCACGTACTGTTGAAGCCTAGCTTGTAGGATCTTGAGCATGACCTTGCTAGCGTGTGATATGAGTGCAATTGTGCGATAGTTTGAACATTCCTTGGCATTGCCCTTCTTTGGGATTGGAATGTATACTGATCTTTTCCAATCCTGTGGCCACTGTTGCGTTTTCCAAATTTGCTGGCAAATGGAGTGCAGAACTTTAACAGCATCCTCTTCTAAGACTTTGAATAGCTCAGCTGGGATACCATCACCTCCACTAGCTTTGTTGTTAGTAATGCTTTCTAAGGCCCATTTAACTTCACATTCCAGGATGTCTGGCTCGAGGTCAGTGATTATACCGTCGTGGTTGTCAAGGACATCGAGGTCTTTCTTGTATAGTTCTTCTGTGTATTCTTGCCATCTTTTCCTAATCTCTTCTGCTTCTGTTAGGTCCCTACCGTTTTTGTCTTTTATCATGGCCAGCTTTGCATGGAACGCTCCCTTGATTTCTCCAATTTTCTTGAAGAGATCTCTAGTCCTTCCCATTCTATTGTTTTCTTCTATTACTTTGCACTGTTCATTCAGGAAGGCCTCCTTATCTCTCCTTGCTGTTCTCTGGAAATCTGCGTTCAGTTGGGTAAATCTTTCCTTTTCGCCTTTGCCTTTCGCTTTCCTTCTTTCCTCTGCTATTTGTACCAACATAACAATTTATACAATATGAGTCTAAAACAATATAGTCAATAAAATATCCAAATGCACTTATTAAAATCAAGAGTAAGCCTTCTGTTCTAAAGTGCTAGAACCGTCAGTGTGGTCTGAGCTATTGAAATGCTTGCCGGAACAGCTCGGTCTTTACCGCTCTACGGAATTGGTAAAGATCCCGCAGAGCTCGGATTTCGTTTGGGAGCCGATTCCATAGTACTGGTGCAGCTAGGGAAAATGCCCGAGTTCTTGTCGACCTAAGCAGAGTTCCGATGGGACTGAAAAACCAGGTTTCCGGGCGTCAGGATTTCCGGGCAAAGGGAACTGCAGGGGACTCTTGGGTATGACGTCGCCTCTTTCCTTGTGACTTTTCCAGGTTGGAACAGCTGGGATTCAATGCCCTCCTGCAGCTGATGATCGGCATCCCCCTGGAGATGGTGCACGGCATCCTCCGCATCAGCTTCCTCTACCTGGCGGGAGTCCTGGCAGGTGAGTGTGACCGAAGCGTCCCTGCTTCCACCGCACCGGGACGCGCCACATCAGCCTTTTGGGTGCCGCAGGGTTCTTTGCTGCCGTATGCCGTGCGCTGTTTCAAGGTCAATCAAAAACGTACAGAAGCCACCTTGAAAAGCGTCAACAACATCTGGGGTTTTTTTGCAAAAATGTTTATAGTATTATAAGGTGGCTCAGAGGTTAAGATGCTGAGCTTCAGACTGGAAGGTCTGTTGTTCGGCAGTTTGAGACCCGAGTGCCGCATGACAGAGTGAGCTCCCGTCTCTAGTTCCAGCTCCTGCCAACCTAGCAGTTCGAAAGCAAGAAATTGCAATTAGATAAATAGGTACCACTTCAGTGGGAAGGTAACAGCATTCTGTGCGCCTTGGTGTTTAGTCATGCCAGCCACATGACCACGGAAACGTCTTCGGACAGCGCTGGCTCTTCGGCTTTGAAACGGAGATGAGCACCGCAACCCTAGAGTCAGATTCGACTGGCTTTTGAGTGCAAATAAAGTACAAAATGTGTAATTACATTAAGAGACGTACAATTAGAAGCGGGACACGGACCCTGTGGAAATACAATTTTAAAGGGACTGAGCCATCTCCTTTATGCCGTTAAGGACAGAGAAAACCATTCACTCTGACAACCAAAGAGAAGTCCCTCGTAGTGTGAGGTCTTCAAGGTTGTTCCACACGACAGGCCTGTTTCAAATCGTGGATTCAGAGGAGTTAGCCGTGTTAGCCTGTTGCTGCAAAATAGTAAAAAGCCCAGCAGCACCTTTAATACTAACAAATTTATTATACAACAAAGTTGTTGGTCTTAAAGGTGCCATTGGACTCCAACTTTGGTTTTTTTAATCCCCCTGAGGGGAGGTTTTTATTGATTTTTTGCACACTACAAACTATAACTGAAAATATAGGGAGGGGAACTACATCTAGGGAGAAAGAAAGAAGACCCACTACTAACTAAAAACCCAAGAGTAGGAGATCAATACATCAGCTTATCATCATGTTTGTTTCAAAAAGCTAATAATACAATGAACATAGTCGGTTATGCTAGGTTAATGATGGTTTAACCATCCCTTTAACTCTTTAGAGAAATCCCCAGAGCATCCCCAAGTTATTTCAACATTTTTTCAGACACAAATCAGAGTCCTTCAGCCCTTATTTATTCTTATCTTTTCTAATCCTCAGTTTATATGGACTTTTGGGGGCAGCTGCCCCCTTTTCAGAGGGGTAGTCCTCGTCTGAAGACACCGAACCCAACTCGCCATCAGATTTGCTTTCTTCTTCCTTTTTGTCCTCAGCTGATTCCCCAAGCTCCAACTTTGTTGTATTGCTTCAGACCGACACGGCCGCCCACCTCGATCAAACTTTATTGTAGTAGAAACTTTTGAGAAACACAGCTCTCTTCGTCAGAGGCCTCTGGCGAAGAGAGCTGTGTTTCTCGAAAGCTTATGCCACAATAAAGTTTGTTAGTCTTAAAGGTACCACTGGGCTTTTTACTGTTTCAAATCGGTATCTCCATCAGGTTGTTAAGTCTTCATAAGGCTTGTGGGACTGCTGCTAGTTTCTAAGAATTCGCAAGCGCATGGCAGCCACCATGGACGGCTTCAAATTAGATAAGCATATGGAGCAGTGGTCCATCAGTGGCTATTAGCCACAAGGTATAGATAGGGGCTCTGGGGCAAGGGATGCTCTGTCTTCTTGGTGCTTGGGGGGGGGTCAACAGTGGGAGGGCTTCTAATGTCCTGGCCCCACTGGTGGACCTCCTGATGGCACCTGGTATTTCTGGCCACTGTGTGACACAGAGTGTTTGACTGGATGGGCCTTTGGCCTGATCCAACATTGGCGTCTCTTATGTTCTTATGTTCTTATCCCGAATGACAAGCTTGAGATCGCCGCCTTTAAGATTATCGCAGCAGGGTTTATGTCCCGCTTGTAACTGTACGTCTCTTAATGTAGTTACACATTTTGGGCTTTATTTGCACTCTACTTAATAGCTGATCTTATGACACGATAAGTGTTTTTGCAAAAAAAACACCCCAGGTCTTGTTTATACTTTTCAAGGTTGCTTTTGTATGTTTGGTTGATCTCACCTGTTTGCTCTTTGGTGTGTTGTTTCAAAGCCGGGGGGGGGACGGACACCAGAGTGCAGCTGGGTCGGGCGGAACCAGGGATCCCTCCAGATGGGCCAGCCTCACATTCCCCTCCCCTTGCTCAATGTGGCTGACGGAAGCCCGTGGGAGTTTGCACCGTCGCGTAGCTGGCTGCTAGGGATGAGCACGGGAGCCCTTGGGCGTGCGCGAACGAGAAAGACAGAGAGCGAGGCATCTGCACAACACCTTCCATGCGTGATGGGGCTGTGCATGGGAATGGCCTGGTCCGTGCGTGCGACAGAAGGAGGCAGTAGAATTAAGGCCGTGCCACTTCAGGCCACCGGTGGAGGCTCGGGTAGGGTTGCCAGACTCCAGGTTGGGCCTGGAGATCCCCTCCAGGTGCCAAATATGAGCTCTCCTGGAGAAAATGGCTCCTTTGGAGGGTGGACGCCGTGGCGTTATACCTCGCTGAGGGTTGCCAACCTCCAGGTGGGGCCTGGAGATCTCGCCAAGGACTACAACTGTTCTCCAGCGGACAACGATCACTTCCCCCCTGGAGCGAATGGAAGGTAAAGTCTCCGGAATAATATTCCCACTGGAATCGTACTCCCCTCCCCCAAACCCACTCTGCCCGGACCCCTCCCCCCCAAATCTCCTGGAATTCCCCAATCCAGAGTTGGCGACCTGAGGTTTGATTCTCGGAACGCTCCTCTGTACGAACAGCTCCCTACAGATGGGAGACCAGCCGAAGGACGAAAGGGAGGAGGTGGCCTCTGATTCCCTTCACTGCTAGCTTTCAGGCTGCGGGGAGTTTTTCTGTGTGAAGGAACCGAGAATGGACTGGGCGGGTGGCAGATCCGGACGCCTGTTGCCTCCTTCTCTGGCCGGCGTCCACCAGCCCTCCTTCCCTTGCCTGTCGTGACTTGCAAAAGAGGCACCGAGGTGTGTGTGTGTATTTTTTTAAGGGTGTGTGAAAAATTCGGTCTCTCGGTCCCTTCGGTTTCGATTGCCTGCGAATCGGCAGCCCAGCAGTGTGGAAATGCCGCTTGGCATGAATCCCTGGAGCTTCCGGCTCCCGGCTTCTGCCGTCTCCCCCGGTGAAGATTCGTCCCATTTCTCCTGCTCGTCCCCCCCCCTCCAGCTGTGCGCATTCCCTCTTCTGCAAAGCCCAGCACGACTGTGGCGTCCCACGCGGGCCCGACCCAGACATGACAGCATCTAAATTATGGTGCTTCAGAGCTGGATCGTGGACTGCGGTGAAGGCGCGGCGGTTTTTGCAGAGCCCCCCCTCCCCCCGGGCAATTAGGACAGCTGCTGGGATTACTCACCCATCGATGTCTTTGGAGAGGCGGCGCACCCGGGATGCAGGGTGAACAATCCCTCATCAGCCTGCCGCCGCCTCCCTTCTCCCGAGTCGCTGGCTCAGCAGAGCTCGCCCGGGAAGAGAGACGGCTCAGATCCGCCTGCCCGCCCCCGCTGCGGTCCTTTGGGAGAGGCAGGCGGTGGCTGAAACAGGACCCACCTTGACCCGAGAGCCGCCCGAGAGAGAGACTTCTGCTTTCAGAGGTCGTTTTACACCCCTGCAAGGTAGGCCCGATGCGATTAGCCCTATCTGGCAGGTGGGGGTGGGCACTGAAAGAGCAGAGCTTGAAGCTGAGAAGGTGTCTGATTTGAGGGGGCCCCTCCTAGGATTGTGGCTAGGGTTGCCAAGTCCAATTTGGGAAATATCCGGGGACTTTGGGGGTGGAGCCAGGAGACTTTGGGGGTGGAGCCAGGAGACTCTGGGGGTGGAGCCAGGAGCCAGGATGTGACATCTCCCTGGGAGAGGGGAGGGAAGAAGCACAACTGAACTCCAAAGGGAATTCTGGCCGTCACATTTAAAGGGACTGTGTTCCATTTAAATGCCTTCCTTCCTTTGGAAATAATGGAGGACCCCCTGGTCCAGTCTTTTTGAAACTTTGGGGGGAGGTTTGAGGAGAGGCACCAGATGCTATATGGAAAATTTGGTACCTCTACCTCAAAAAACAGCTCCCCCCAGAGCCCCAGACATCCACAGACCGATTCTCCATTATACCCTATGGGGACCAGTCTCCATAGAGTATAATGGAGCACCCAGCGGACACCCCCTCCCACTGTCTGATAACCCTGAAATGGGGGGAGGGCCATCCCCTGCCCCCAACTGGGGATTGGCAACCCTAAATGTGTCCCAGCAGGATATCCAATAGGTAGCTCACGAGTTACCAGTGTATCCCTTAGAAGACCCAGAAAGAGATTTGTGACAATATCTGCTCTAGGCTTTCTACAATATTTCTTTCCTCTGTTCTGTTTTAACTGATAGGACAAGAACTAGGAAAACTCCTGGAAATCAAAGAATTTCCAGGACAGGACAAACTTGGTGACTCTCACGGACCATTTTTCTTCTCACCTTGACACAGAGAGTACTCCCTCTTTCTGTGTTATACCTCTGGGGATGTCAGTCACAGCTACTGGCGAAATGTCAGGTCCTACAATGCCAAGACCACAGCCGTACAGCCCGGATAATCTACAACAGCTAATAGGGTATAAGCTTTCAAGAGTAGAAAGCTTATACTCTAGAACTACCCGCATCCCTTCACCCGGTAGCCATCTTTCTCCTGCGGCCTCTTTGTGTGCTCCGAACAAGATACGATTTTTGGGGAACGGGCTTTGCAACCGAGTGGAGTCCAACCGGGAAAATTTCCTCGATTCGGTCCCTTCCCCTAAGGGAGGGCGGTGGGCAATGCTCCCTCTAAGCTGTGGATTCTTGTGAGCAAAAATTCTACTTTGTGGGCTACGGGCATTAAAGTTGTGAGCAAGTGATTTGGCTACTGCATAAACTAGTTTGCTCTAGAGCCATCCTTCCTGAGCCAAGACAGAAATGTGTGAGCTGGAGGCTAAAAAACGGTGAGCTAGCTCACACTCACGCAGCTTAGAGGGAACACTGGCGGTGGGTAAAAATGTCACGGGGATAATAACTCAGATTGTTTGTGGGCATGGAGCACGTGTCAAAAACTTTGTCTGGCTGTCGGCCAAATCAATCCGAGCAGTTCACAGGAGTTAAAAAATCCACAAAATAAAAGGCAACTTTTAACAACAAGCAGTTTATCGAGTATCGAAAAGGAGTTCGGGTGACCTTGAAGTCCCTTCTTGGAAAGAAGGTCTTTCCTTTGGCACTTCGAGGAAGGGGCTTGTATAGGAAAAGAAAGGGCCAAATTCTGCTGGGCCCGTAGTTGCTCGTCTGCGAAGGGGGTTTCGGTTGTCCTCCCAGCCTCAGTTCTCTGCTCAAGATTTCCCCCTCGCCTGTCGGAATTGAGTTGCCGGCCAAGCGCGTGTCCCGACACCGTGCTTCGACGCAAGCAGTTATGCTTACCTTTGGAAGGGGTTATGCAACTGGACATCTTCGTCGTCCTAGGTATAATATTTTGCATGGGTTAGGTTTAAAAATGCTAATCTTGCATGTGCGATCGTCTCGCAGTAAGCACGGTGCTTG